TATTATTACTTAGCCAAATAATCACAAACTCACTACAATGTACATTTAATGTACATAATTGAATGTTTATATACAAAAGGGAGGGAGAAGGTCAACTATTTAAATATTTACCAGCTCAAACTAATTATTTACATAAAAGATATAGGAACACACTAATCCAGAGATAGTAAGAGTGAGAAGAGCCATGGACTGCGATTAGTCTGCTATAGACATAGACACAAGTTTGATCAGCGAACAACTGCCTTTTTCTACCTGTGCACCACAGTTAAATTAGGTCTTTCCTGACCATGGCTGATGCACAGATCCTAATGCCAGCTTTGCTTTCATCCAGACTTGATTATTGTAACCTTTTGTAGTCTGGCTGTGAGCTGGTACTAAAAGTCTTCAAATGGTTCAGAATGCTGCAGCTAGACACCAATGTTAGCTTCCCTTGATCGGCTCCCGATCCGTTAGATGTTGATCTACAGATATCTTTAAAAGGTGCTTCTAATGAATTTTGACTTTGAAATGTACACACACAATCAATTGGATGTATGTCTGTTCTGGGAGAGGGATCCCTCTTATGTTGCTCTTCGTGAGGTTTATTCCATTCCTTTCCCAGTTAAAGGGGTTTTTGGGGAGTTTTTCCTTATCCGAATCAAGGGTCTAAGGATAGAGGATGTTGTATGCTGTACAGATTGTACAATCCATGTTTATGATATTGGGCTATATGAATAACACTGACTTGACTTGAGACACACACTTACCACTCCAAAGAAGCCAGCTCGTATTACAGCCTCCTTCCTGGCCAGAGTGAAGACCTGGTCTGTCTTCTGTGTGTATGTGTTGACCTCTGACAGCTCTTTACCAAAAGCCCTCACTGTCCGAATGTTGCTGATCCGCTCCTCTGCCAACTACATTAAAACAGGTTTATTAGGCCTTTATCTAAATCCCAAATCAGGTTATCAACATAGTAAATTAACTCTACCTGCAAATTTAATTAAGCTACCACAGGCAGTGCAGCATTTATATCAGAAATACACAACACTAAAGGGATAGACAAACAGTATTACTTTACCAACCACAAATATGAACTGTGGTTTTCAGTATAAAGCTACAACTAAAATCACGGTCTTAATGTAAAGGCAAAAATAATGGGTTTTATTGGCACAACAAGTCCTCCTAGTAATCCTTGCTGTTACGCATCTGGCAACTGGAAACTAACTGAACACCACAACTGTGGTTATTAAACCTTCTCAGACACTTTTTTGTGCACTGTACCTGTGTAGCTTGTGCGAGTGCGTCCTGTGTGCGTTTGGAGATGGAGCGAAGGTATCTGCCATAGATGACAGCAAGACCAGCCATGGGTGGAACAATCAGCAACACAAAGCTGGCAAGACTCGGGGAGACGTAGAACTACAAAACAAGAGAGAAGAAAAAAGCAACAGTTAATGGAAATAAAAAGGGAGAAAAGAAAAGGAGAGGGAGGAGGAAGAGAACAAAGTTCACCCCAAGTGGCCTCATTTCATTTATATCCTTGAAAGTTTCTTATGCCATAAATAATTTTACTTCCCTGTGAGTAAACAAATGGTTTGTCATGAGCTTGTGTTGTGTTTCCTGATTTTCTGTTTTGGAAAATGCAGCCGTCAAAAAATGGAACCAGAAAAAGTTTTGTAAAGGAAGTAAAAGCACCAGTTAACAGACCTGATGCTCAACAAATATTTAATTCATAAAGGATAAGACATAAAAAACACTGAGACTGATGAATATAGTCAAGTGAGTTTAGATGAATAGCTCAGCAAATAAGTATCAGTTCACACACACACACACACACATACACAGCTTTGAGCCTCCCTATCAGTTTGGCAGGGTTGTGTCAGTCAGAATCTTCCCATTTCCTTGTTTTTGTAAACCTGTTTCCCAACAGTCTTATAATCTACTAACAGTAATGTGTAGGGAAACTCTCAGCTCACATACCGACAGCATTGAATGGAAACACGTACACAAAAGAACTACTTCCTTGTACTGAACAACACAACAATATACATGCACACACCTTTCTCTGTTGTTAAACGACTGTAAGGTTTTTAAAGCCAGACTGAAGCTCAAACAATAGACACAGAAATAAAGATAAGGAGAGTATGTACAAAATAAAGGATGCCCACTGATTCCTCATTCAAACCTATCCTGATCGACCACATAGCTGTGATCGCTCTGAGGGACGTACTCACCATCATACTGACGCCAGCAGCGGCTTGGGCAACAGCTCTCAGCCCGTCTGACAGGTTGTCAGTGATCGAGTGGCCCACCACGGCCGTGTCAGCAGAGAGGCGGTTGATAAGCTCGCCAGTCCTACTCCCATCAAAAAAACCCACTTCCTGTCTGAGGATGGAGGAGAAGAGGGAGGCACGGAGATTACGAACAATCTTTTGGCCTGAAGAGAGAAGAGAAAAAGACGTAAACACATTTTTGAAAACATTTGGGCTTGATTAACTTGTGATGGGCATTTCATTATTTGTGGCAAATAGTAAAGGAAAGGATTAATCAGCCGATTTAAAAAAGCTCCAAAGTTCAACAATACACCTGCCTGCATCTTTAAAGCTCACTAATTAACAATTAACTAGTGTTTAATATGTCCACAAACAGAAATGTTGTCACTGTAAGGTTGCCAGGAAGTCACTGTGCCCGGCTGCGAGTCGCCAAGATATCAGTGCAGTGTTTCTGCTTGTGCACGGATTAAACCAACATATGATATCATATATCGTATGATATCATCATATCATGTGTCAATTACTGAGTGTCAGAGGTGCTGGCAGGTGCAATTTTGAAGAAAGCAAATATATTTCGCACACATTCCTTCGATATATAAGATACTGAAAGTTAATATTTCCTATCCTTTCCTGAATGAGGAAAACAAAGAGGAAGACCTGGAGGAGAGATACAAACAGATTCCTCACATTCTGCTCATTGATGCAGACATCAGTGAGTTTGTGTCAAGTATTGTCTGGTATTTGTCTGTGCGTGTGTTTCCTCATATACCCCTGTAGAGTATTGATCTCCCTCCTTGTCTCACCTGAGGTCTGCATGAGGTAGACTCTGGCAGCATTGGCTGCCCCGCCACACAGGAACACCCCCGTCAGCATGATGCATAATGATGTCAGGGAGGCGGTCATTGTCTCTGTGTCTGTTCCAGCGGTGTAAATGGTGTCAATCACTTTACCCAGGAGAAATGGAGCTGACATAGTTACTGCGCTGGAGACAGTGAGGAAGCCTACACCAGCTGGGGTGGATCAAAGAAAAGACAGAGAAAGAGAGAAAAGGAGAAAGTTTAAAATCAAAGCCAAAGATACACTTTAAACAAATTATTGTAAAAAAGCAAAACCCGGGGATACAATTTCTAAAAGTCCTGAGTTAAAATATGGAACAAGTTCTCTAACAAAACCTCATGAAAGGTACTTGAGGATGTGAAAAGTGCTTTAATTGAGCTCCAAATGAAGATCATAAGTAGCCGAGTAGGAGAACAGCCTTTGCAGGGTAATATTCAATATGACTAATTGTTTACATTCCTAATCTGGGAGACTCGTCACCAAACAAGATCAGAGCAGCTTATAATTAAATTCACAGCCACTGTAGAAACATATGGCACAGTGCAGTGAGGTGGCCTGTCAGGACAAACAGAAAAAAACAGAGGAAATATGGCATCCAAGTGTTAAATGTACAAAGTGTACATTTCACTTATGTTTATGCGTCTATTTCATCTGTTGTGTGGTTTTGAACTTGGTAAAAACAGGAAACAACTGTTGTAATGTCCAACTGGTACTAGCACAAATAAGATTTATGAGTTTTTTAACACATCCAATAAAGAAATAAACTGACAGTATCTGCACACTGGATCAAGGCTCAGACTGTAGGCAGCTTTTAAACTATACAGGGTCTGCATAAACTGCATTTCTCAGTCCAATAAAGTTTTGAGGGCTTTGACTCAGTGTGTGAATACTTTCCACTACAGCGAAAAAAGAAACATCATAATGAATAACAACTCCACGATTACCAGTAAAATNNTTTTTTTTTTTTTTAAATCAGGGAAGCACCTAAAGGCTAGTCCACAAACTGGTGAGCCAAAGACAACTGGAGATGGTGTTGAGGATGGACAGACCTTCTTCAGTCTGGTGATGATGAGGACAGATACATGTCAACTCCTTGCCATGTCCCTGACCTCTCTCTGACACACACACACACACATATATATATATATATATATATATATAGATACACAGAGTAGT